TTTCGCCTGTGATGGTAATTGGAGCTCCAAGGCCTTTTCGATTATGGCTGTAAATGCCAGCACTTTCTATCTTCATGGAATTTTGGTCAGTGAGATATGGTTCTTTGCCTGCGATCTCCATCACCTGGTATGGTTTTATGGCAAATGTATTTCCGGATTCCTCAACAACGTGACAGCATAATTCAGAATTTCTTAAACCTTCCTTTCCTTCAGCGCGTATGGTAAATGGACGGTGAGTCAGTATACCGGAGTAACGTTTTCGAAAAAAGTTAAATTTATTTCGGTCAACAGGTACAAATGCGAGGCCATCTGATTTTTTTATCATTCTTTTGCATATACTTAAAAGCCCCATCCGTCTTTTGTTTCCGCCATTTGGCTTCTTGAACCATAAAAAGTAGCTACTTAAATCATCGGATGAAAAAACCTTTTCGCTTGCGATCAGATGTATTTTTTGATCACAATTCTCGAAGAACTCCTTAACGAGGCTTCCAGTACCAACAAAGCTGTCAGCGACATTAATCCGTCTCCCGATCGCGCAAGTAGCTAAGATGCACTTGTTCTCCTTTCTTTCCCTGTCTTTTCTCAGTGTATGTACCGGCAGCGTTAGATTCGGAGGGTTAGAGCCCCCACTTAAATTTGTCATGTTCCCTTCCTAATTGTAAATCACGAGGATACACACAGTCTCACCGCTATACTAAACTCGATAACAGCTAGCAACCACCATTAACGCTCAAACCCGGAAGCGCACGAGTCCTCTTTCTAGTAATCAGCGGTCAAAAACAAAGTGAAAGAGTATGTCATATCTGATAAACAGAATGTACTAAGAATGATAAGACACTAGAACTCCGCTGACTCGAACTCCCGGGGGAAACCAGAAATGGTACGATTTAGACAAGGTTCAAGTTAGTTGATAGTAAATAACTGGAATAATGGAGTGAAGGAAAACGGAATTTTGTTCGAGTTACCGGGGGGATTCTGAGTAATGAGAGTTCGAGATAACGTAGTTCCAGTGTGTACCTGTTTAGGCCTGTTGGGTAGTTCAGGCAAGGAACTCGTCATAGGTATACAAAGATTTTTATGAGTGTGATGAGTTATCTATGGGTATGCAAAGGTCTTCATGAGTATGCACATGTGTCAGCTCCTGGTATGCATGGGTGTCTGTGGGTGTACAACACTAGTAATGGGTAAACAAGGGTTTTTCTTTAACCCTTCAACTCCCAAGATCTGATTATTAGTTCTCCCCTCCAGCTGCTACACATTTCCTCGTAAATTAGTTCTGAGAATTTGGTGCAAGATAGAGGCAAAAAAATTCTACCTGATAGGTTTGGACATTCTCATCACTGCTGAAAAATGTACAGATATTTCAGGGAGAAGTTGTGTGTTAATCAGCCTCGGAAGTTAAAGGATTAAGAGGTTACAGGGATATTTAGTTATGGGGTGCACTTTATCACCAAATAAGTGTGAATATTATGGGATATGTGGATGCCTTTATGTTACATTGACATGAATTATAGACCCTTCTCCACCCAGATATAATTTGCCTCCACTGGGGTGGGGAGGGGGAAAGGGAGGATGGAGAATCATTAGAGATAAAGGTTTATAACAAAGTCCTCAGTGCAGTCTTTATTCAGAAATTATTTGCCCAAGGCTTGTGCATTTTGTTTTGTTGGAAAACTGCTGTCTTTTAAAGAAACTATACATCCAAGCTTTAAGTACAAGTATATTTTATAAACTGAAATGCTACTTAGCCCAAATGAATGACCATACAGTATAACCATTTGCATAGCATAGATATCATTCTTGGATGATCCCAACTATAGTTTCTTATTAATGAAGTGTGAGGGCAGTACTGGCCCAATATTGTAGAATTACAGCCAAAGGACAGCAAGGTCCGTACAAAAATGATTGAGGGCTAATTTTTCTACAGTACAGCTTGATCAAGCAGGGTTAACTTGTTTTTTTTTTAATTGCCAGCATTTCCAAAAATAGATACACATCTCATGACCACATAAGATGGTTTGTGTGGCAAAGTCTGGACCATGTAAGAACCAATTGGAACCCTCAGATTTACCTCAGGGCTGGGTTATTTAAAAGGGGGTAAATGTTAATCTAGGATTAAAAGTAAACATTGGTTTCAATTTCTTGTGTAGAAGAGTACATATAAGAGTTAGGCTTCTATTGGGTTTTATCTCATTATGACTAAAAAATGATGGGGAAAAATCCAAACAAAAAATTATTTTGCAGTGCTATAAAACCAAATTTAAAACTTACACCAACACTTTACTTGTGTTTTGAACAACCCAGTCCAGGACTACCTTACCATATATCAATATAACTTATCTTACCAAAGCTAACTCATTGCTCAGTTCAAAGGAGTGAATCTGGTTTAAATGTTGTTTGATTTCTTCTTGAGGAGTGGAAATCCTGAATCAGACACTGCTTTACAACTATCTTTGAACAGCACCTACAATTTTCTCTATGACTTAGTGAACAGCATGTTTATCTTTGTGTACCCACTATTGTTACAATAAGACTAAAACTCCTGCATCAGCATTGCTTTTTTCAAAGACTTCATCCATACAGCAAGGATTGAAAATTTTGGACTGTATATATTACACTGTAGCATAATATACAGTGTTACTGATGTGGTCTGTAGGAGAATTTAACAAAGTTCATATAACCACGCTTCTGAGCTCCAGTGGACAGGTACACTGGCAATGTTTCATCTACAATTTTCTCATTACACAAACATATTAAGTAAACATTCATATACACAACAAAGACAGAATTTGTCATGAGCATTTCATGATGGGTTAATTATATTTTGGACTAAAATACACTTTCCTTCTCAGCATGCAGACTTGGCAGGGTATTTGCTTGAGGCCTGTTTTGCTGAAATAATTTGCAACATGATTGTTGACTCTCAGCATCATATCCATAAGATGCTCCCTTTCTGCATACTCTTTAAAAATTGCCACAACTGTTGAAATGAACCAAGAACCAAGCTCTGGCTGCCTGTAGCTTTGGTGACCAGGGGCAGAGGCAAAACAGATCAGAAAATCAGCATCAGCTGGAAGAGATGAGCTTGCACATGGGACAGGCTCACTGTCGCTCTCGATAGATACCCTATCCTGTCTATTGCCACGGCAAGCTTGGATCAGAAATATTTTTGGTTTCCCCTCAAGAGAAGGACATGCATCTCGGCGAAAATTGGAAGTGATTGCTTCAATTTTAATCTTCTCATCATCAATTCCAAGAATCCCATCTTTGAGACCATGGCTGAGGATTACACACAAGAAACAATCATATCTGCTGAAGTCTTTCTCTGCAGTTTCACTGAGTATTTCCACCATCTGACTTTGAGTCAAGTTATTTACAATTCGGGTTTTGAAGTTGAAATCATCAAAGAGGCTACAAAGATTTTTCACATCTTCCTCTGACCCATGGCGTACAGCCTCCTCCCTCTTAGGGAAGCTGTAGTTATGAATTACTAACACATAACCAGACTTTACTTTTAAATCAATATCATCCCCAGACTCTTGAAAAGGTGCATGAGCTAGAAGAAAAATAAGTGAAATGAATATTAAGTGAATTCAAATGACTAAGTTTCTGTTTGGATTGAAGGACTAAGCACAGAGTGGAAACATATGAGACAATTAAAAGATCTGATCTTACTTTTTTAACTCTTCAACTCCTAGAAGTGATTAACATGTAACTTCTCTTATAACATCCATACATATTCCAGCAAACAGGTTATGAGAAGACACAAACTTATCAGGTAAAAATGGTTACTTAATCAAATACCAAATTCTTGTAACTAATTTACAAGGAGATGTGTAGCAGCTAAAGGGGACAATTAACAATCAGATCTCGACATTAAAGGGTTAAGACAGTAAAATTATGGAGTAGCTCCTTTAACCTTGTTGCTACCAACCATGACCATAAAGGAAATTCTCCTTACAGTCTCAACACAATTTTAAGCAAAAGAAAGATGAGAAGTCAGAAAAATTTAACCCAGATTTTAATTTGGAGAATAGTGTTAAATTTCACCTTAATTTACATTATTGGAGCTGAAATATTTAGAAATGAATGGCAGACCGCCCAGAAAACAGACATTGGAAAAGGTAAACTTGATAAATAAACTCTACTTACAACTAATTTTAGTTCTTGCTGCTTGCTCTGGGGTGTGCTCTTGGTTTAGTAATCCTAACAAAGTTACAAAGTCAGTCAATTATCTTTGTAATAATCTGTGGTTACTATCAGGTAGGCTTCCAACAATAACTTTCTAAATTTTCAATAAGCTAGGTTGTAGATAACAGAAATCACACAACATGTAAGGCAATGCTTCATAATCCCTACTATGTTGAAAAAAAACACAAAACACAATTTTCTGATGTATTTCACCTTATTGATCATAAAAATGACATCAACATTATTTAAAACTTTGAGGTGAAACCTCAGACTAGGCCTTGTGGTTTTCCATGCCACTTTTCTGATCAATAAGGTTTTAAGACCAAGACAGAATCTCTCCCTATAATATCTATACAATATCAAGAGTGACTAGCATCTAATTTCTTCTTACAGGATCACCCTGAATAAAACATTAAGGTCATGAGAATAAGGGAAATGATCACCAACTAAAGAAGCTCTTGAATGTTAAACAAATTCTCTTTTCCAAAACCTTAAAATAATTGTACAAAGACTTAAGAATGGAGAATAGCTATACTGATATGAGGGTGTAAAGGGCTAACTAGACAATGGAAAATTGTGGTCAATTTGTTCAAAGTCGGTTTACCTAAGCCTGAGATCTCAAAAGAAGGCGATTCGTGACGCAAATAAATGCAAATGCAACCGTCATGATTACTCTTTTACAAAGTTGTTGCTATTTTAGGAGTTGGAAAGGGGTTTTCTCATTTCATTTTCACTTAGGAGGTTTCTCTCAGTAATCAAGGATGTAAGTAAATCCTTGATCGGTATAACAGAAACCCATATGAAAAGAAAGGGCAAAAATGCAGAATAAAATGAGGTTATCATAAATGACACCGTATTAATTAATTCCTGGAGTATAACTCTTCAAGCTCCTTCCGATTTTTTCGAGTTGAAGTGAACGAATTAAAACTGTGTACTGCATCGTCGAGGTTTTAGTTTAGATGATGTAGTTCGAGCGGGAGAACAGGAAATGAAGTAATATTTGAAAAATAACGCAGGCGGAAAAATTAAGTGGAGAAAGAGGCAATTTGCCGTGATGTGGGCCGGTAACATGGCTGACTTGGCTAACAATTGATACTCAATCGATTTTCTTTGATTTTAAACTACATCAAATCAGGTTTGATATTGTTCCCACTATAGCGTATTTAAATGAAAGATTATCATCATATTTCGAACAAGCCACAAGTTATGAATTATTCTGATTCATGTGTCGAAGCACCGATCGAAAACTTCCCTCACAAACAGAGAAAGTTGCGTACCTTCTGATATCTTACCAGTCGGCCCAATAGTCAGTTTCGCATGATCACCAACCACGACAGCTCCTTTACACTGTTCTACATTTACTTTGAATTTGGACATGCTAGAAGGTTTTCCAGTCAAAAACGGTGCGTAAAGACCAAAGTAACGACTCTCACGATAAACGACGGAGCGAAGCGGAAGTAAACGAAAGGATGGGATTGTGAGTGGTCAGCGGAAAACACCAAGTAAGAGTTATTCATTCGAAGTCTTCACGCTGAAATTTAGCATTTAGGAGGGATCGACCCCTGTTCTATTTAATTACTAGAGACCTTAAGCAAACCACGACGGCGACGGCAACGAGGACATGGAAAAACAAAAGATATGATGGGTAGAACAATAGCTCAGCACGTGCGTTTGTACATTTCTGAGCCGTCCTATGCAAAACAACAACGTGAAATCACCACAATTTGCGTCGTCTGCGAACCGAAACCGCGACGGCAAATTATTTTAATTTCTATTTGGAACTCAACGCTTTTTTGATACGTTATGCTGAAGTTGAGGTGTGGCGCTGTATGAGACGGTAATCACATGCAGCCATTTTTGAAATTCTAATTATAGGTAGAAATTTCATTTTTTAACAGAAGTCTTCCTTGGCGTTGCCGTCCTGACTGCTTAAGGTCCCTACTGATTGGAGGGAGAGGTGGCTATGCATAAGCAACCCTTTCCACATGCTAACGGGGGAAGCGCCCAGGGGAATAAAATGGGTTCTTTTTAGAGATGGAAAAAGGGTGCTCTCTACTTTCAGTTGCCCTTATAGGCCTCTCTTTTAAAGAAAAAATTATGACTGTAACAAAGCGTCATTTGTGTGGTTATTTCGATTTTTCGAGGGTGGATAGTTTCGATTTCAGACTTTGGCTATCGACGGAAACTTATCATAGAGGGAAAAATCTGCGTCCCGTTTACTATGTATTTTTTCGCCAAATCTGGCGTAACTGATACGTTCACTTGGCAAATAGTGCAAATTTTCAAATTTTCTTAGGAGTGGGGATAATTCAGCAAAACTCAATAAATAATACTGTATATGAACTTAATTAGCAACAGGCGGCTGGTTAATAAATATTCTTACCTTCATGTGGTGCAACTTGCACGGTGGCATAATCGCTAGCAACAATCTGCGAACAATTTTCTACAATTATGTTGAACTTGGACATACCAAAAATAAGCTTCACTCAAAAATACTTCTGATGTGTACGAAATTGTCGAGGATGTTTCGTGATGTTGGAAAGAAGACGGGTAGCATCCGGAAGTAGTGGCAATGTTATTGTGGTCAGCGGGCTGCACCGACTGCAATCAGGCAGGTTTTGCGTCACATTCTTGCTTTTAAAATTTCTCACAAGTCATCTTTCTGTTTTGTTTATGTTTTCGATTCAAATCGTGATTACATGCAAAATTGCCGCGCTAGTTGATATCAGGTGAGAGATGGCCGTGGAAAAGATATGGGTGGAGGCTATGGGATCTAAATGTGTACACTCCTTTAATCCCAGAAAGAGTACTGACATTTAAGAAAATGACCGTGTCCTATGCTGGTGAAGGACCACCTTCTACCTCCCCATCCCCCAACCTCCCTCATGTCAGAGGTCAGAACTGCTTAATCTTAGCCAGGTTTATGGATACTGTTGGGAATACTTTGTGATATTCACATTATACGTTGATTGTTAAACTATTGAGGGATAATCAAGTAAATGCATATTAAGTAACTGTAAACATAATAATTTGGTATTATCAACTGAGTTAATAACATAGATTGGCCACTGTAAAGAATTTCATGGCTGATATTTTGACCGTTTACCCTCCATCATTTGTTCTGACGAAGGGCTGATGCTCCCAACGTCAGATTTGAAACTCTTCATGGTGGCCAACCTACGTTATTAACTCAGTTGATAATAATTGTAAATATATGAAAATCATATATGTGCACTGCCGTCGAAAAAAAGGCCTGAACAAAAATTTTTCAGGCCCTTTTCAGCTACTAGTTCATTAGTGTTCATAACTGCGAGGATCACTTGTATTTCCAGTCTAGTTGATAACAACACATTACCTCATTATATTCTCCCACTGATGCAGCACCACAGTTTCATGAGCAACTTACTCCCCTCTGACTGTAATCATAGCCATTGGGGGAAGGGGGGTTCTTAATAATTTGCTTAAAGGGATGTGCTTCTGGATGTGGTCAAATTTTCTATTGCATGATTGCCTATAATGAGGTTGCATTTTCATTGAAGTGAATAGCATATGGTGACATAGGTGTGGGAATGGGACATGAAAAATCTGGTAACTGGGGATTTAAAAATGGGATGATTCCAGTAAAAAGTAAACAATTGGGGTCTTCAATTGAGCAGAGAATAGACTAAAATAGGGTCCAGGCTCTGAGAGGCAAGCAGCACATACCCAGCAAAAGTTGACACAAGTGCCCCTCCCCTACCACCACCACATAATATAATTTTTCTGGTAGCAAGTTTGATATTGAAACTGATAAAACATGGCATGTGTTGTAATCCAGGAAACATTAAGCTAGGAATGTGTAAAGAATCTAGGACCCCAAGACAAAATTGTATAACAACTTTAATATCTTCATTGTACCTGAACAGCCTCTGTGTGCAGGTACCCAGTTCACAAGATTATTATAAACTATCCAGCAATTCCCATATTACTTTTATTATAACAACTACAAATCACTTCATTCAAGAGACTGATCAACTGGACAAGTCTTTTTTGTTCAATTCTTCTTTCCTTATATAAATATCTTCATCTTTTCTACTTTGGATGTTTATTTTTTATGCAATAGAAGACATTTAAATAAAAAATTCAACCTAATAATTTAATTGTATTCAGCAAGCAGACTGTGTAGATTTTACATGCTATGGTATTTAATGAGCTCTCAAATACAAAGCTGAGTGAAAACCACTATCATGCCAAAAAAATGATACTTTATAAAAACTGTTGACAAATTCTCAGGGAAAATGATTTTTATACCTGGAATGAAAGATTGAATACAATCTGCTTGAAAGGACTGGTGACAGCTCAAAATTTCCTCAGTGGTTGGTATGATCAACTATGCATGTTTAGCAAACCTGGATCATTTGAAATCAGCTCATTGCAAAGATTACAAATTTATACACTGAGTAAACACACACAAATGCAAACTGCCTACTGTATTGCAATACATTATCATTCATTTTCTTTTCTATGAAAAACCCCTTCTCCGAAACTAAATTGATGATTTCCTACTCTCTCTACCTTTTATTCCTTAACAAAAATATAATTCAGATGGTCGCATGACAACCACACATATGCAGTACACCCTATGACCCCATGACAGGGTAGAAGGGGGGAGGCCTGATGAAACCAAACCAGTGTGGGAGTGGAAGGGATGGGACCCTGTTACCCTTCACTAAAATACCCTCCCCCCCCCAACCCCTAACCCTTTCACTCCCATAAGTGACCAAGACAGAATTTCTCCTTACAATATCAATACCATATTAAGCAGAAAAGTGATGAGAGTAAAGAAAAATAATATCAGTTAGGCAATTATAAGTTGATCCAATACCAAATTATCCAAACTAACATCACAAGAACTGTATGACAGACAGTAAGGAGAATTACTAATGAGATCTTGGGAGTTAAAGGGTCAAATAACTCCCACACCTGCTAACTTGAATCGGTTTTCATTTCCCTTCATGAAGTCAATTTTAATGCAATTTTACCCTCCATGACTTGAACAATATGACTTTCAATTTGTGGAAAGTCAAAACAAACTGTACTGTAGTTCAAAATATTGAATTTACAGAGAAAAAAGAAATGGTTCTCTTCCTCATTTCTTCCTTTGACACTGAACAAAACAACTGTGAATCCAGTTATGTTTTGCAGACATAGGATTCATTAAACTACAATGCATTGTGCTTTCACAGAGCTCTCCTGCCTAGCTTAGCTGCTATTTCTGGATGTTCTATTTTTTTACTAGACTCCTCTACACTGCAAGAAAATTTGATTGACGAGCACATTGACAATTTGACAATGTATAACTCAAACCTTTTTCAATTTTCCTTGATGCATCCAGTCAACAGAAGTGGACTGCCTAGTCTACCATCACAAAGCAAGAACTAGCTTTACCAGTAGTTTAAATTCTAATGATGTACTCAGATTTTTCCTTGTTCCAAACTTGTTTCAAATATTGAACAATTTTTTTCCAAATAACCTGAAACTCATTCACATAACAACATTTATTGAAAAGAGTTCACGGAGTGTTATGAGTAGGATTGAAAAACACTTTCCTTCTCAGCATACAGACTTGGCAAGGAATTTGCTTGAGGCTTGTTTGGCCCATTTTGCCTAAAAAATTAGCAACACGGTTATTGACCCTCAGCATCATATCCATGAGGTGCTCTCTTTCTGCATACTTTTTGAAGACATCAACAATTGCTGAAATAAACCAAGAACCAATTTCTGGCTGCCTGTAGCTTTGATGATTGGGAGCAGAGGCAAAACAGATCAGAAAATCAGCATCAGCTGGCAGAGATGAGCTTGCGCGTGGAATAGGCTCGCTGTCGCTCTCAATAGTTAGCCTATCCTGTTCACTGCCACGGCAAGCTTGGATCAGAAATATTTTTGGTTTCCCTTCAAGAGATGGGCACTCATTTCGGCGAAAACAGGAAGTAATTGCCTCAATGTTGATTAATTTATTATCAGTGCCATAGATTCCGTCTTTAGAACCATGACTGAGGATTACACAAACAAAACAGTCATATCTGCCAAAGTCTTTCTCTGATGTATCTTGCAGTAATCTTTTGATTTCACTTTGTTCCAAGTTGTCATGAATCTTGGTAGTGAAATTAAAATCATCAAAGAGACTCTTGAGACCTTTCACATCTTCTTCTGACCAATGGCGTTCACCATCTGGCCTCGTGGGGAAGATGTAGTTATTAATTACCAGTACATAACCAGACTTTGCCTTGTAATTGATATCATCCCCAGTCTCTTGACAAGGTGAATGAACTGCTAAAGAAACAATTATAAATTTTATTTCAAGTTATTTGAGTCTCTATTTGTTCTGGTGTTGCTTAATGTACACTCCTCTCTTAGGGGAAAAAACTTTGTGCTCTTGGGCCATTCCTTCCTCAAGATGACAACTGGTACACAATTATCTCTAAACTATGATTTTTTCCTGTACCGCCATAATGGCTGCTTGCAGCTTCAACATGATGACCAAAATGGTCCCTGCTTGGTGCACAGTCCAAGCTAAATTTTAGTAGATGCACAAAAAGTTGAGTAGCTCCCTTAACCCTTTAACTCCCAGTAGTGATTAACATGTAACTTCTCTCTGTAATATCCATACATTGTCCAGCAAAGAGATAATGAGAATTCTCAAACTTATCAGGTACAGATTGTTGTCTTGATCTAACACCAAACTCTCATAACTAAGTTACAAGGAAATGTGTAGCAGCTAGAGGGGAGAATTAACAATCAGATCTTGGGAGTTGAAGGGTTAACTGTTTAGCTCCAAGGTGTGACCACAAAGAAAGTGCGACAATGATGAGGAGAAATTAATCAAAATGTAAAGTAGGGGTTATTGTGGGATTTAAATCCAAATCAATAGAGCTAAAATTGTTAGTAGGAAATATATGGAAGATAGAGCAATGACCTAAATAAATACGAAGATCTTGGACATGAAAGGTATTTAAAAAACTAACTGTGGAACTCTACTCACCACCAGTTGTTATTGTTGTTGTTGTTGTTGTTGTTTCCCTTGGGACATGCTGTTCCTGTGGTACTCCTGATAAAATTAAGAGCTATTTTAGTTACTTTAACCCTTTAACCCCTAAGAGTGACTAGCATCTAATTTCTCCTTACAATATCACCTCTGAACCACACATTAATGTCACGAGAATAAAGGAAGTGATCTCCAACTAAAGAAACTCTTGACTGTTAGATGAATTCTCCTTGTCAGCACCTTAGTAGATGTACAGAGAACAGTATGGAGAATATGAATACTGATGTTAGGGTGTAAAGGATTAAAATAATCTATTTGCAATCTAAAGTATCTTATTATAGATTCTCAGCTGCTTCATGTGCTTTGATTGGTCACTTTAGCAGGGTATATTTCTCTGTACCACCTACTGGTAAGTTTGTTTGAGTTTAGGTCTTCTCCACCCAGAAATATTATAAATATATGACGAACCTAGTTTTTGAGGTCTGTACTTTAAGTTATGGAACCTTTTTTTTTTTTTTCGCTTGGATTTATGCCTTGTGCATTTTACACTTCTTGGGCTATGAATCCAAGTGGAAAAAACCTGGTCTGTCACTCAACCCTTTCACTCCCAGCAGTGACCAAGACAGAATTTCTCCTTACAATATCAATACAATCTCAAGTAGACAAGTGATAAGTAGATAGAAAAATATCAGTTAGTGGATTATCATATGATTCAATACCAAATTCTCCAAAATAAAATTATAAGCAATGTACGAGAAACAGTAAGGAGAATTACTAAAAGGATCATGGGAGTGAAAGGGTTAAACTACAGACCTCAAACTCATTTAGCAAGAGGAATATATTATTTGGCCTTCTTAGCCTAAAGTCCCCGAAAATGAGTAGACCCCAGAACAAATACATTCTGATGCAATCCCAAAATCGGAGTCAAACATCTATGCATGTGTGAAAGTTGTAATGACTAAGTGGCATGCATGCTGTCAGGCTGTCAGAACCAAGTTGTCTTGTTTAAGTTATTAACAACGTTCACTCGATCCAGTAAGTCAGGGTGTTCTAAAAGCAAATAACTGTATTGATAAATCTAAAAACAGATAGGTAAACCAACAGAATACCTCTTCTTGAAAAAGCTCTGGGCTCAAAGAGTCTCAAATTTTTCCTATTTCCTACTTTTCTTTTCCCTCACAGATTTTAATGAACGTTTAAATTTTCGTTCGCTTATGTTACCAGACAGTGGTTGTTTTTTTTATGTTTTTCTAAGAAATTTTGTCTGGGAAATTGGCGAGCTGGCACCCAAGATTGATCCCCTTGCCATGCCTCAACTTTGACCCCAACGTGTGCAATCCCTATCTATGTGAAATTAGCTGCTATTTCAAGAAATGTGAAAGGGGTTTTTTTTCATTTCCCTTTCATGATTCCTCTTTTTCACCTAGTTTGTACTAATTCGCTTGTTTAAGATTAAAGTGAAATTAAAGAATAAAACAAGCGTGATCAACAAAATGGAATAAACTTCACGCGGATTTAATAACTCAAAATTCCTTTGAACTTCTTCGACTTGAATTTACCCTGATAAACCTGCATCGATGCATTTGCGAGGTTTGGTTCAAGTGATCTAGCTCGAGTAAGATAAATAGGAAGAAAAGCTGCCTATGAAAAATAACGTAAATGGGAAAATTCAGTTAAAGTAAGGGCGAAAAGAAATATTGTAACGCCCCGGCGAAACGGTATAATGATTTCGTCCTACATCCTGTTAGGAAGAGCATGTCTGACTGATAAGCCGCCTTCTTCAAGGTAGCATTTAAATGGCTTTCCCATGTTAGACTTACATCACAAATTTTCTATAAAACCTTTCCTTCACGGGGGAACGTGCGATCGCGAAGCCAAACCGTATTGTATAAGACAAACTCGATGTAGAACGAAATGTTTGTGGTGACAAACCTTACCTTGGGTCGCCCCAATTGTCAAATTCGCTCTATCCCCAATTACGACAGCGCCATCACATTTGCCTATTTTTATATTGAATTTGGACATACTGGAAGGTATTCCAACCGAAAACTGCACGTAAAACTGGAATAACAAATCTAAAGACCATTCGACAGTTACAAGCGAACAGTACTTAAAGCAGAAGCGAAAGCGAAAGTGAAGGGCATTAATAACTGGTCAGCAGAAAAATGCCAAATTACAAAAATAACTTCAAAGTCTCATCACTGACATGTACTATTAACCTGTTCTCTGGAGCGGTTTAGTCTTCTGAGGGAGGGACCGCCCTACAGAACGAATTGCTTACTGAGCGGAGGGGGAGCCGGTTAACCAAGAGGCAACCTTTCCACGTCCAAATTAGCGAAGTGCACTGGAGAAAAGAATATTAAAGAAATGAAAAAAAAAAGGTGCTTTACTTTCAGTTGTTTTGGAGCCTTCCCTTATCAATAAAGGTGACAAAACTCAGGTATGATAAACACCTGAAATAAATTTTAAAGAAAAATTTATGACCGTAAAAAATCGTTCATTTAACAAACCCCTGATTATTTCAAATTTTTTTTGAGGGGAGCGATGGATAGTTTCGTTTTCAGACTTTGGCATTCGGCATAAGAAGTGTCATAGAGGAAAAACTCTGCGTTGCATCTATAATGTACTTTTGAATGTGACACGTTCATCTGCCAAATACAGCAAACTCAAGAAACAGTACCGCAAATGAACTTAATCAGCAACAAGCGGCTAGTTAATAAATATTTTCTTTACCTTCATTTGGCGCAATTTGCACGTTGGCATAATCGCTAGCAACAAGATGCTAAAAATTTGTTACACTTCTATGGAACTTGGACATACTAGAAATAAACTTCGCCCGAAAATACTTCTGATGCGTACGAAATTGTCGAGGATGCTTCGCAATATTAATGAAAAAAAGACGGGTAGCATCCGGAAGTACTGGAAATGTTATTGTAGTCAGCGGGCGACACCAACTGCAGTCAGGCAGTTTTATTGCGTTACACTCTTGTCTTTAAAATTTCTCACAGCGAGTCGTCTTTCTATTTTGTTTATATTTTCGATTCAAATCGTAATGACACCAGATGCAAAATGCCGCGTTAGTTGGTATCAGGTGAGAAATGGGAATGGCAAAGATATTGGTAGAGGCTATTGGATCTGAATGTGCATACTCCTTTAATACCAGAAAAAGTACTAACATCTAAAGAAAATGACAATCATACGGACCTCGTTCTACATCATCCCCTC